GTATGCAGGCATGTGTGTGTGTATGTATATAACATATGTGTCTTTCAAAAAGTTACTCATTCTCTTTAAATTACTTGTTCATCATCTATAAAATAGAAGCAATAACATCTATATTTCTTGGTGGTTATGAGAATTGAATATATGTAATTGTTTAATACAATTTCTGGCACATAGTAGATGCCCAATAAAGAATATACATTAGTTTAATAATTTCTAAGAAGAGAAAATTATACTAGATTTCTAGATTTTTTGTTCGCAAACTTTAGTGTACCTTGAATCATCTGCAGGATGTGAAACATAGATTGTAGGTCCTACTTCCCCAATTTCTGATTCAGTAGGTTTGAAGTAGGGGCTAGAATTGGCATTTCTAACAAATTCTTAAGTGATGCTGATGCTGTTAGTCTGGGAACCACACTCAGAACTACTGCACTAGATAATTTTTGTGTTTAGTCTCTTTCAGATTAAAACAGACCATTAGTTAATTCAGTTGAAGCAATTTATCGTAATATTACACAGGAAAGTAAGAAAGCCAAAACACTTTCTTAGTAGCTAAACAATTTAGCAGTCACAAAGAAATGGATCATCTTTCAGAATAAAATGGCAGCTTATCTTGTTCACTCAATAGTGGAAGTTCCATTGCTTTGTCTTGATTGTTTCAAGGGTGTAGATATTCAATTTCTTTCTGTCAGATTATTGCATATTCATCTACTTCTATTTTAGCTACTGACTATTTTCCGCACATTTACTTCTCTTTCTCAATGGCCTTTGCTCTTTCATTTTGGCTATGTCAATTCATCAAAGCTGTATTGTTTGAGTCTCCCACTCTTCCTTCTGTTTATGCTCTCCCAAGAAAGAGGAATTGACTAAATTAGTCACTCTGTAGCAAGGTGTCCCTATTGGCCATTTTTCTCAAGCTAGGATATCGCTAGGTTTAGGGGAAATCTAGAGATTGTTCTCTTGGGCTTAAATGCTGATCCCAGAACTTAGTTTTGGTTAGGACATGTGGAGTACATCATACTGAGCATGGTAACTAGTGCGCAAGGAAACAATTCAGGGTACTTTATTCAGAAAGGAACTGTGAGCATAGCAAACATTAAGAATACCACAGATTCCCTTCCAATAAAATGTCTAGATTTTCCTGCTCTTACAAAAAAATCCTTCCTTAGATATGAATATGGGAGGCAAAAAAGAAAGCCAGATTTATAAATAAGTATCCAAAGAGTTTCATGTAGTCAACTCAAGCTCAATTCTGGTTGGTATTGATACACGAAAGAAGAAATCAAATTAGTGTTGCACAGTAGCAGATAATTGTATGCAGCTAGTCATATCTCACTGTATTTCTTAAGTAGCTCTAGTCCATCAGGGAATTAGTCTACAACCAGGGTTTTTACCACATCAGGGGGGTCATGCTGTTCTGAAAGTATGCTTTCTAAATAGGCTAGGTATTCCTGCATGTGCTTACTTAGTAGGAGTCTGAAATAAGGGTAGGATCAGCAAAATATAAAGTATAAGGTATAAAGACCCCAGAAAAGTAGGCTCAAGTTCAGGAAAGTGCTCTAGTAACAGTGGGAAACAAATGTTAATGAGGAAATCAATGCAGAGGAATGCTGCAAGGAGGAAATAGTTTCTAAAGTCTCAACTAAGGTTTACTGACAATGGGACATATAGTGTCCCAACTAATTCTGGAACTTTCTCTGTCATGCAATGGTAGCATTAATTTACTCCCTACCCTAATCAAGTTTGCATAGCAGGAGACTGATCCAGCCAGTAAAAGACCTTAGTGACAAATAAAAGAAAAACATAAGTTGAGGAAGATACCAATAAACTTCTTGAACTTCTGAAGTGTTTCACTTGGCAACTTAACTTCTCACCTGCTCTGGTCTTGATTGTTTATGCTAAATATGTAAAATTCGCGATAGAAAATAAGTA